AGGGGGCCTGGGAGGCACTCTGGGGTGACGTCCCTTTGGCCTTGGGGTCCGAACTCTTAGTGTCGAGGCAGGGTGACGTTTGCCGGAATAGCTGTAGGGGGTAATCCCTGGTGTAGGACATGCGTTTGCCGAACTCCCCATCCCGCGCAACGAGTAGGTCTAAATCGGCGGGCACAAAGGTTTCGGTCACACTGGCATTCACAACGAGCACGTTGGGTCCTGAATCCGCCAGGCCCAGGCTCTTTGCGTCGTCGAGATGACAGATCGTCGAGATGCATTGTCTGAGCGCGGCACCATTGCGTAGCTGTTGGTGCGTTGCGAAGTCGATTGACCGAAGCTGGGAGTTAAAATCGAGAAAGTATAATATGTGGGCATCCTTAAAGTGCCCCTTCTCGGTGCTGCCATGACAAAAGTTAAGGGGATTTGTGTGTTTTTTCCAAGCATTTGTCAATCTCTGCCTGGAATGATATCTAGCGAAGAATACAATGAATATAATTCCCATAATAACTAATATCAAGGTGATAACACACATTGAAATATAAATTCCCAACCTCCAACCCTCCATTAGTAATTAATTTCCGAATAAGTGATAATAATACAAAAAAAAATAAACAAAGGAACCTTTAGGTTTACGTATGAGAGAAAAAAAATGTGTACTTTTGTAAACTAGACGATCCACGCATGGGTAAGATAATTTGAACGGATTTTTAAGGAGTACTCTACCTTGAACAAGATGATAAAGGTGTCAAAAAAAGGTAGAACATTTGCTTTCTATAATTGGTTGTATGAATATAGGGAGGGCATTCAATAATACACGAAGGGAAAGGCATATTTTTAATACCCCCTCCTCTGAGAATCCATCTCTTTATCATTTAAGCAAATACAATAAATAACAACGTCCAGGAGTTTAATGTCAGTATAAATTTAGCTGACAACAATGCACTACAGGAATTACAATGAATAAGTGGAACTCTTTTTCAATGTATACTTCAATTTTCACAAAAGTTTAATGTTTCCAAAGCGAAAGAAAAATAAAATAACGTGAAAACAGAAAATGCAGTAAGATTTCTAAATGAGCAATTCCATAAAAGAAAAAACAACAACTCCATGTAGTCCATAAATTTATTTAAACTACATTCCACCTCCCCTTCAATGTTTCAAAGGCAACAATGAATAATAAATGAACGTTGCATAAAAAAAAATAGCCTAACCTCACACGCAGCTTTGCGTTGGAAGTCTATTTAGAATTTGTATTTTCCCTTAAGATACTTCAGATAACTCCTCAGCTTCACTTCATCAGAAGCTCGTAGACCAAATGGCGCAGTTTCACCTTTGCTCTCACACAAAGTCTCTATTTCATATATCAAATTCATCTTTTCATCGCCGATTTTTCTTTCATTGTTAAGGGAATTTCCTTTCTGACGACGGAGAGCAGCCTCTAAGACAGGATTATTAACATTACACTCGCTTCTTGGAGATGTTATGGTTCCTAAGTAGTTGATTGAGCTCTTTGAAGGATGTCCTGATGCCGCTAGCGTTGAATTCGAATTAGATTTGCCCACATGTGTTGAATGATTCTTTTCCCCAACCGCCTCAGCTTGCTTTTCATGTACACTGTTATTTTTATGATTACCCTCAAAAGTGGCGGAATTTGAGCTTTTCGATGTGTACTTACTAGTGAACTTCGAAATATTCATAGAATCATAACATTCTGAGCAAACACGTATTTTCTTACCATGGTTGTCTGTTTGAGACATTTTCGGCGCACAGTCATCGCATACCGTACGCTTACAGATTTGACATGTATGTTTCCATAAGATTAGACCAAAAGAGCGCACACAAAGGGGACATTTACTTTTTGAAGTGCTCATACATGCAAGTTTGATATATAAAAGATTAGTTAAGCGAAATTTGTTGCCAAACTGCAGATCTCAATATGAGATAAGTGAAAGACTACACAGTAAAAAAAAAAGGGAAATCAAGTCAAAAATAGCGGGTGCACTACTTATGCATCACAAAAAACATAGATTAAGCACCTTATCCTCTACCACCTTATCGTCCTTATCACACAAAATATATAGATCATAACGTAAATACGGACAAAATAAGAGCAAATTAGCACTTTAAAAAACCATGCCCCTATTCAACTGATACTTCAGTTCAACTGATAGTGCTCTCACCATAATTATCCAAAAATTACAGAGCCTCTCAAAACTTTAGCATAGCAAGTTATGAATAAGAAGGACTTTTGAAATTGATAAATCATACATATATAAATCGCTACGAATTACAAACAAGTGATCCACTAAAACAATTTTTCTACATTTACATCGTTTTTAGATATCTATTTTCCGTGACGAAGATTGAATAACCGAAAAGGTGTTGAAGTCAACCGCGGGGGTAGGCACTCCAGTTACAGATACGTCAAACATTTCAGCGATCTCCGCATCGGTTAACGGTTCACCCGACTCTGCAGCTGCACGCTTCAAACTTTCTTTTGTTATATATCCCGGGTAGGACTTATCTTCCAGGAACCCAAACGCAAACAAAAGTTCCTCTTGTTGGCTATGAGAGTTAAGCTTTCGCATGACTACTTGTTCAAAGACCTCTATGTCTACCCCATCATTATTAATGTTCCTTTTAGAGCAAGAGGAAAGGTACTGGTTTTGAGTGCCGTCATGATCAATTTTTCCACTTTCTGTCGACAAGTGTTTATTTGCGACAGTGAGGGAGTTCAGATTTTCGGTATCGGTCTTCACATTGGAATTGAAATCGGATATTTCTTTGCTTTTATTGGCGCCTTGCTCGGATCCCAACCCTGGAGTCGTCATCTGAAGCTTTTGAAAAATAAGCTCTTGGCGTCGGTGATTCTCGCTAACGATTTCTCGCGCATAAGACAATAGTTTGAGCATCTCCATCCGAGAAATACGTTCACCAGTAATGGTATACATCGCAGAAGTTAGCTCTCGCATTGAGATGCTACCAGCCTCCTCATCGTCAAAAATTTTAAAGACATCATGGATTTCTTCCCTAAGATTATCTAATAAGCTCATTTCTAACTAAGGTTTACCTATTATAATTCACGTATTTTAATGAGCAACAATACATTAGAAAATAAATCTGATAAGAAAAATAGAAGATTAGTTTAAACTAATCACTTGACAAAAATATCAAGTAGAATTAAGATATTAAGAAACTTTGTACATAAAACATAAAATGAATCATAAAATCCAAACATGAAATAATATTTTAAAGGGAATAATGAATTACGGGAAGGAACTCGCAGCACACTTTAGTGTATACCCACTTCAGCCGGTCATATGCACAGGGTCAGCTATTCCCCCCTTTCCCCTCGGCTCCCCGGCTTCCCTCCCCCCTACACCCTCACCCTTTCGGGAAAGGGAATGAGGGGGAGGGAAGCCGGGGAGCGAAGTGAGGGGAACAGACGTGATCGAAAAAGAAAAAGGCAAAGACACTTCGCCCATTACCCAGCGGTGGCTGAAAGAAAAGCCGAGGGGCGGAGAACGCGCACGCACCAAGGGGTCCGTGCCACGCCGCCGCCCTCCAGATTCCAATTGCCACCTCCTAACCCCTCAGCAAGAACAAACAGCGGTGTCGAACACAGCTTGAAAAGGAAAGAAGAACCCACGCCTCAGGCGTCGTACATGCCGCTCACTGGCCTCCAGTGCATCTGTTATAAGCCCTCTTCTGCGAACCAAGATGACGAAGGGGGGCCGTATTCCCTCCCCCCCCCTCTTTGAAACCGTTCGCTCATGACTGTACTGCTATATTACGATCCTTCTTGAAGCAAGGGCTTCGCGAGGGAAGGTAATGCCCAACGTTATACTACCACCGAGTGGGGAAACTACCACGTCCCGCCGGCGCGTACACCGGCCAGACGCTGCCCGCGCGCGTGAGCTGAAGCGAACTGCTGCCGCAGGATCCACATCCCCCCCCCCTAGAGCCCCTCACGCGTGAAAGGCCCCAGGGAGGAGAGCGAGATCGGGAAAGGGGTACTGTCGGCAGACGGTGGCCCTGGACCTGGCGTGTAAAGTGCACCCAGGTCTGGCATGAACAACAGGGATGTAGGTAAATGGACTCCGGCATGCCAAGTGGCCTTGTGCACACCGCCACGCACTTGCTGCGTTCCCGCGGACGGGAAATCGTGGGCGAGGGACTTTCACGCTCAGGACCTACACCACCACCGCGCGGACGCGGTTATTGGTGGGTAGCGCCCCGTGAAGCGAAGAAGCGGAGGCGCAGACAGGAAATGGCTGTTTCCCGCTTGCATACAGGACGGCTGTTCCGGACAATGGGTTTGCTCTCCGACAAGTTGCCATGAAGCGGGGTTCTTCCTTCCTCTCCCGGTGCTCACATCGCCGCCGTCTTGGCGCCGGGCACGACGCTCAAGGGGATAGGGCTGGGGAAGAAGGGGGTGTGAAATGGGTTGATCGAAGCGCCTACTTCTTCGCCAGAAGGCCAAAAAGCAGCCGATTTCCTTTTCGCAAAGCATCATCATTCCCTTGCGACCGACGCACACGCGAATACCACAGACATACATGTAATAGTAGTGATGTAACAACACGGACAATTCCAACCCCGTGTTCTCTACGAGGAGGTAAAACTATCTAACAGCACACCTATCCACACACACGAAATATGTATCATAGCGTAAATGACTACATTTCTGTGTTTGTGATTTACTAGCTTTTTTTTAGTGCTGCAATACAATATATCGGTGAAAATATTGGCGAGTCAACTAATTGGTGATCATACATCTTTTATCGTATTGTTGTAAACTTATCAACTATGTATATTTAATCAAATAACATAGTATTAGTTTATCTATACTAAATATATATATATAGGAAATTTCTTTAAAATAATGTTTTTTTATATTTTTAAAAAAATGAAAAGAGATACAAGGTTGTATTTTGAGCTATATTACTACAATTTATTTTATTTAGCATTTCTGAACTAAAAAACTATGTTTCATGGCCATTATTTGCTTCTAGTATTTATATTCACCAACTTGAGTTTAGTCAGGCTTCGTTATGAAGCACACACCACCCAGAGGGTGGCTTAGTGGTAAAGGTTGGAAAATACTATATTACTTGTTTCCTCAAGTGATAAAACAGGTGTCGATATTTTTTATCAACATGAAACCAAAAATACGAAACTACTCAGAATATCCAAGTATTACGTGTATCTTCTTAATGAATATTTATGAATTTAATAATTCTAATTCACGGTTTGAATACTTGATATATATATATATATATTATTTGTGTCAGTTTCAAGGAATATGGGTTGGTGGAATGTAGTTCCCTTATCAAGCTTATTTCTTACAGACTTGACTATTTTAATGAGCTAAAAAGGGAAAAAATATCTTAGTTCAACAAGGCTTTAGCAATAGTCTTAATCAGAATCGCTTCGTGGTGTAATCGACATTTTTTACTCTTCCTCAAGCCGTGTCGTTCACCTGGGTACACAAGGACGTTGTACGGCTTCCCCTCCTCGATCATGGCGTTGATGATATGACAAGTATGGGTGAAGTGGACATTTTCATCAAGCAACCCGTGAGTAATATACACCCGGTTTAGTTCGTCAGGAAAGCCCTTAGCGAAGTGGGCGATGCAGCTCTTCCGGTACGCCTCACTGATCCTGCGTTCCCCTTGGTCCCCCTCCGTGGGCGTCTCGTGGAGCAGCCCGAGGTAGCGCTCGGTATACCCTGTATCGTACAGCCTCCAGTCCCCCACCGGGGCGCCCGCGAGGCCGATGCGGAAGACCTCCGGCGCCTGCGCCATCGCGAGCAGCGTGGCGTAGCCGCCGTAGGACCACCCGAAGATCGCGACGCGGTCCGGATCCAAGCACGGGTCCTGCCCGCAAAGATAGCGCACCATATCGACGTAGTCCGTCGTCTCGAAATGGCCCATATTCCGCTTGCAAATCCGCTGCTGCTGAAGGCCGTTCGCGCAGCGCATTTGGTTGTCCACCACGGCGACGGTGAGGCCGTGGAGGAGCAGCCCCTGCACGGTGGACTGGGCGACCAGGTCGAAGTTCGCCGCCCAAACGAGCTGCACGTTCGGGCCGCCGTAGACGTACAACACCAACGGGCAGGAACGAGGGGCCTGGGGG